AACAAAGAGCGAGTCTCTCTCTTCATGTGGTCGGAATCATTGACCGTCCGTCACATTGTTGTCAGGCTGTCCATTTTCCATTCATTCCACTTTTCACGATTGACGACCACGAGGTAGCACTCAAGCAGGGATGCCCTTAAAACGACCGACAACAAGGAACCATTCATTTAAAAAGTGTAGGATGACTCACCTGTGAGACTTTCTGTAATTCGGAGACAATTTTAACGCTTGGATGACAAACAAATACGGCTTTGCTGCCTAATTTTAGTCTGTGTCAACAGAAAAGTAACCCCCGTCGTGGTCCAAGTCGTTGATGAGAGAAAGGGTTAAGCAGGAAGTTGCTCGATAGGCTTTTAACCATGAATCGCATCGCACCACCACAAAAACCAAACCCAAATAAGTGAGATGACGACTATGATGATCATGAAAGTTTTAGGCAGTAGAGAATATAATAGTTGGCATTCATAGCAATCCTGCTCAACGATGTACATATTTATGCGCCTATAGTTCTGCACGGGTTATGTATGTACAAATGATAAGAAATGCTGTCACTTGACCAGGAAAACATTTTAATTGTGATTAAAAATTATAAAATATTGATAAGTACTTATGGCGTATCTTGTAGCACAGCACATTAAATTCTGCGTCGTCGTCGAAATGCAAATTGTGCGAGACGATGATGGTGATGGTACGAAATATAGGAAATAAATTACTTATTCTGTCGATTTGATACTTGTTGGCGTATCTTGTAGCACATTACGTATATTCTACGTCGAAGTGTAAACTGTACGAAATATAGGAAATTTATAATTATCCCCATATTTTAATCGCTTGCTAAAACATATGAAAATCTGCTGCGCAGCAAGTTGCCCACAGTAATCTTAAGTTTGTGTCGTCGTCGTCGTCGTGTGGTAACGAACGACCATGAGATAACGTAGGTCAAAGTGTACGCTCATATATTATTGAGATCTCATTATGCATATTCATATTTTGGGAGGCTTTCTTCGCACATTTCCTCCAGCAGCAATTTATTTAAGTGCTGACAACCCTTTCTATACGCTCCTTACTTTTATGCATGTAGAGTCCTTATCAGAAATTTTGTGGTGGTTTGATTTCTGACCTGTCAAACGAATATAGAATTTTCTAATAAACTTCAGATTGCAACGACGGTGAAATGAATGAATTTTCATGTTTACTTATGTGTACATTTGGTATTAAAACAGGGGACATAAATTCTCGAGAAACAAAAATTGGGCTAATTTTAGCAGATTTTATCACCAAATAGATATATAAGTTAAAGACAATAAGGTACTTATTTACACAGATAACCCCAATGTCACGTTTTCGTGGCGTGGCGTGGCGTGGCGTGGCTACTTTTTCAGCCCAAATTGCTTATTTCTACCCTAAACATTTGGGGATGGAATGGAATTTAAATAAGTAAACATACTTTTTTAATTGTTTGCTGATGGGATTTCGTAAACTTTTTGTCTTGGGATAGGTAAATATGTAAATTTGGGTAATTTTATAACCCGAAAGCAACTTTGTGGTATTTTTGTGGTCCAGGATTACACTCGAAATGCAAACAAAGTCAGAAATGTGGGTTTTAAAGGACTACTTTTGTGACCAAATGTTTTTTTCCAGAACTTTCCAAACGCGGAGACCAGATTTTTCTTCCCCTGCTTCATTAATCCGTTTGATTTGGCACCCTTAAGAGAAAGATGGGTCGTGAAGTATGGGAATGGGAACGTGGTTATGGTTATTATTGTTCGCTCCGTTGGTTTGGTTTGATGTGGACGTGACGTGCGGAAAGCTATGGATGGGCATGTCTCGGAGCAATTAACGTGAAGCCCGTTAGTCACGGGTGACTCGGAATTAGGTCATCTCCTCGCCACATGAAAGCACCGCCGAAGGGGAGGCCCCTTTGGTAACGTGATGCCCGTCTTTTGACTGTCGGGCAGCCGACGGGGCCACCGTCACCGTACTCACTGTCAACGTGGTGGGCGTCTCTGCTGATACATTCCCGGAATGACTGCTGTCTCCAATTTGTTGTTTATTGCGTAACTGATACATTTTGCGGGGTGATCGGCATTTTGTCTCGTTTCCCATCCATCCAGTTTTGTGTAGGGATCAGAACTGTGTTTCGGGTGCACGTAGATAACCACTTGAAAGAAATAACGGCAATAAAGTGGTTTCTTGCAGCTACATATTTTGACCTAAGGTGCAAGCAAACTACGCCCCTCCGCTGTACTGCATAAGTCGCGTGGCAAGATAGCGCATATTTCTTGCAGTTTCTTCCACCTCGGATTTCTTGCATTTTTTTCTTTGCAGTGCAAGAAATAATGGCAAGACAGCGGTTTTTGCAGCTATTTTGGCCTGCAAGAAATGCAAGGCGCAAGAAACCCCGCAATATTTCATAAGTCGCATGGCTAGATTGCGCATATTTCTGGCACTTTCTCCCAATTTCTTGCGTTTCTTTGCATTGCAAGAAATGTGGCAAACCCGCAAGAAACGAAACACTGGATCACAGAATGTAGCAAATTTTGGGATTGAATAATAAATGAAATATGCGATAAGATTTCGGTTTGAAATGAACACGTCTGATCATTCCTGACGACGACGGTAATCTTGTGGAATCTCAAGAATCAACCCATGCAGCAGCGAAAGAAATTGTAAATATATTTGATTTAAAATGACCACTCATCTCGAAAGTGACTTATCATCATTAAATTGATTTAGCAGGCATTTATGAGCATGTCAGTCAATCATTTGAGGATGAGCTATGCCATTCCATATTTGTCCGTAATATCTCTCACACGGAGTTCTTCCTCTCGTCGTGGATTGAATTGACATCCGACTGACTTTGTACGCATATAATAATAAATAATAATAATATTACACGGCGAACCAAACCAAAGAATAATGAAAGTCATCTCGGCATCATTTAAGAAAACAAAGCAATAAAATAAATTCGTAGGGTGGCGAAACGAAAGGGTTGGTTGGGGCATTCACCAAAAACCACCACCGTTCTAAATATTAATGTTATGCTATCCTCCATCTCATCTCGAGATAAGATCGGTATCTGCATTTTGAGAATATTTATGTAAATACACGCACATTAGGCGAAATTATGAAAGATTCGAAATCTACAGTTTTTAAAATTTATGTCTTAATGTGCTCATTTATGCGTATTTTAAACTTAAGACGGTCGATCGTATGTACAAAATCATGGGGAAAAATTGAGACTATTCTCAATAGTCACATTATTAATGTCCCTGACCCCGAAGGAAATTTGTTAAATTTTGTGACCCTTCCTTGACCAGTCACAAATGATAAAGACGATCGGCAGGTCATCCGATTGCGGAAAAGGGAGAGTTGTTACCTGATAGAGGCAAATTTCCTACCTTGATCTGTATTTAGGAGGGGCACCAGCACCTCCACCACCACCGGAATGACCAGGGCATTCCGACTCTCTCGATAACAGGGAGCACCCTGCTGCTGGGAGAACTTTTGAAATGCACAATATCGAACATGATCAAAGTTGGGGGTTGATTTTGGATTACGAGACCCATCGGACGGAATAGGCGAGCTTGGGAAAAGTGGAGTGGAATGAAGAAGAAGGGTTGGAAATATTTGAATCTTGTTGTACATTGAATGAATTGGCAAAAATTCGGGGATCATGTTTACATGAGCGGAGCCTTTCATCTCGCCGCGGATATGTCAGTTAGCCAATCTTTCCTTCCACGTATTTACTACAGACTTTAAGAGATGAGACGCTGTTTTTTACACGGGTTAAATGTTTTCTTCCTCCTGCCACGACGGGATTATGTGGATTTCGGTGTTTTGTTGGTATGTAGCCATGCATTTATTCAAGAAGAAGATTCCGCAGACAGTCGCAATTCCATTATTTATTTAAATTATTTATTTATTAAATCTGGCTCATGCCAGTCTCGCCGAATTTATCTATTTCTGTTCAACGAGAGATGCAGCGTCAATGGGAATTGTGGCGAATCTGCGAATTAGATAATTAATTACACACGACACATCCTTCTCCAAGGTCTTCTTATTGGATGCTACACTAAAATACCACCAAAATCCTTAAATAATTGCGTGAAAACAAAGAGAGATGCGAGGGGACAAAGATGATAAGAAAATGCAAAACTTGCAACTTTTTTTAGGCCAATGAGTTTCGCACTTGCACTTTATTTACATATCTCGTCGTGTTTTTTCTGTGTAAAAGGACATCAACAGTTTTTGTATTAATTTTCATGTTGTTTTTCCAAGCTGCCCCTGCTTATCCTTAATGAAAGAGGGGCAGCTGACGGTTGCAAAAATTACTTACTTATTTGGTTATCAAGGGTTGGGCTGAGCATTGATCTACTTAAAATTGCAATCATTGTGAAGGAAGATGACTAATTTTTGTGATACATTCTGTAAAATTATTATGTCTCATTTCATTCCTTGGTGATGAATGCAATCTCATTTTTCTCGTCTCAAATCGAGTACGAGTCTCACTTTCCCCACGATCTCGTATGTACATACACCTCAATTCTTAACTAAATATGTACACGGACACCTTTCTCTTTCCGTTTCTCGACTCATGTATGTCGAAATTAGCAAGTGTGAAAGACTTGGTAAAAGCTTGTAGTCTACAACTTCTTATTCCTCCGAGGGCGGAGTTTACGTTGGTGACTCCGCCAAGAAGGCGAACACAAAAACAGCGACAATGCGACAACTAATAACAAAACGCGGCTAAAAAGCGTACAAAATCAGGATACATTTCTTCTTCTTTCCAATTTTGAAAAGTTTGTACTACGCAAATTATGTAATTATCGTCTCTTAAATACTTGACAAGGATTCAATTATGCCAAAAATGCGTACTTCTTCGCTATCGGAATTTCCACCTCTTACTCAAACTTATTAAAAGTTCCCAAATTCCAACCCGACGAAAAATTTATTCTCTCTGATATCTACGTAGCGGGTTATCATCATCCCTTGATAACATCGTGTTGCATAGGGGTTGTTGGTTTCTTACTTAACAGTTTATCTCCTTAGTCGACCTCATCCATATGCACATACATTCGTCCATCCATGCTACATATGTCCACATACCTACCGAAATCATGGAATGATGCTGCACAACTCGTCGTATTACATACGGACGGATAACTCACGAAAGGAAACCTTAAGTCAACTTTCGTACGTATTCCACACCACACATTCTTCCCAGCAGCGTCTTATGGGTTCTTCTTCTCGCAGCAATATCTTGGTCGTCGTCTTGGCCGAAAATGTGTATATATTTATACGGATGGAACAGGGGTGAATGAGACTCATTCATTAAACAGGGTTCCCTGCTATCACAACCATCTCCTCCTCGTCGTCGTCTTTCTCACTTATCATCACCACCACCAGAGCCAAACCTAGAACATTTTTCTCCATCTCATACTTATCTCCACGTACTTATCGTCGTCATTTTATACTCACTCACAAACATACGTACGTACACCTTTGACTCAAAAGCAAGATCATCGAGACTCAAAATTTAATTCACAGAGAGAGACCAACTTGATTGAATATCAAAGAGAAAAAAAAATATTAAACGATCCAGTGACTGACATGAAGAAGATAAGTACTTATGTACATATATAAACTTCGTGCTATATCGTATACACACTATAATAAATAATAATAAAAACACTTACTACGACAAATCAAAGAGAATCATCGTCTTATTAAGTAATTTGATGATTCCTCCAATATTTTTTTCTAAATATAATAAACTTGATCTCTCGTATGTTCACCTCGTCGTATATAAGTAATCATCATTTAACTAACACTAGTTTTTTGAGGGATACATAATACGAAATAAAATACCGAGGAGAAAGTTATCTCCGTTTTTTTTCTTCATCTTCATCTTTATCAATGAGCTTAAGCTGCTGAATAAAAGTGTATTTACATTTGGATTTACTTAATGCAGTGTAATTTGACTCGTGTGATAATCTATCCTCATTCTCAATTGATTCGACTATAGTGCGCTCCTTCTTCTTCTTGAGAGAGAGTCACGTTCCAACGACTTCTTTTGCGTCAAAAATTGAGACAAAGATTGCGATTGTATTCGTATATTCGCTTGACACAAGTGAGTGAGTGAGACAACGTTCGCCTTGTTAACCTGTCCACGCGAGGACTGGATAATTAAGATAACTGACCTTTGTGAATAAGACGAAAGTGAAAATCTGATTAATTGTGGGATTAATTAAGAAACTAAATACCTTTGATAGAGAAGGTTGTTGTTTGTTTGTTTGGGGTGGTTATCTTATTGCGATGGATAAGATGACGATTTCTTCCTCACCGGAGGAACCAGAAGAACATGATAACGACGCCAGTTTAGCGGAGATTGATAAGGCGGCTGCAAAAGTGCTGCAGGGTTACGACTGGTCTGTTGTGTCCAATACGAAAAAGTGAGTATGCTTATCGGCAGGGGTGAATTTTGTTAAGCGAAATGTCTTAATTAGCGGAAGGCAATTGTGTTTTTCATGATACGTCTTTCATCGGGATAAATGCGACGTTTATTCACGTGTTAAGGGCCGTCATTCGATTAATTTCGTGGAAAACAGCTAATCATCGATAAGCTAGTCCTTTCGATGTGGATGATAAAATTGATGATCACTTTTATTTAGTAAAGAACTAAATATGCAAAAATCATTCGCATAATTTTGCATTTTCTCCTGCTAAATAATACATGCAATTAAAGGCATGGTGAAAGTTGGGGAAATTGAGACAGCATGATTTACTGTAATAAATTCTTAGGATTAGTTTATTTGATTTCGACTTTCTCAAATCATTCTCCGTTTTGCTTAAATACATTTTTTTCTAATTTGTGCAGATCGTCGCAGTCGAATCCAGCCAATGGACACGTCAAACGTCCCATGAACGCGTTTATGGTTTGGGCGAAAGCTGCCCGGCGTCGCCTCGCGGAACAATACCCTCAACTTCACAATGCAGAATTGAGCAAAAGTCTTGGCAAATTGTGGAGGTAAGAAAACTTATCATCTCATCTCATATCAAACAGGACAAAAATTAGTTATTTTTGTTCCGATTTTGCCAAAAACTTTCTATCCCAGGCGTCATTCTGGGTTTAGCTTAAAATGAAGGTCTCCGATTTTGACAAAATTAGTGTCAATAGCTCACAAATTTAATTAGTATGAACCTTGCTAAAGACATATCTCCCAAATGGACACGTTTGGCAGCGAAGAGGAGAAAACGCCCAGTAAATTTAGAAAGTGTAAAAATTTGTCAACTTTCTCCACTTCGGATGCAAATATCTCTGCCAAACCTGCACATTGGAACATCTCCATTGTCGGTCACATATTTATTATTTAGCCTGTTAAGTGCCCCCTTCACTATTTATGATGGAATACTTAATGTCTTCCAAGGTCCCTCCTGTCCACATTGACGAAAGGAAACATGTCACACATTTTCAAGGCAAACTTACTCACTCACATATTTGGAAAGACGTCGAACACAGTAAAAATAAAGCGATAAAGCCACCATCAACCAGAAAAGTTAAATGACATAACATCCCAATTTCCCATTTTATTACGCACGCAGTGTTTTTATTAAGCTGAGAAAACACATCGTTATTTTATTAGTACGAGCTGCATTGCATAATAAATAAATAAATATGTATCGATCGAGGTAGTTTATTTAATTTGGTGCATTTTGCGTTGTACATTAAAAGATGGTAAAATCCACTCCACTCCACATGTCACAGGATCATACATACAATTTAGTAGGGCACATCTTCTTACCACGGTTATCCAATCCAATCCACTGACCCGCGTATTTCTCTTATCACCTCCTCCCTCCCTTATCCTGAGATAAGAGCACCCACCACACCACACCACCACAATCCGTTCCATTCCATGCAGCATTTTGTACATTACTTCCTTCATCTTGCTGCTGCAGTTGACTTAATTATTAAGTTATTACGAGTGATGTATGTATTTAGGCTTGGTTTTATTTGATGATAATTTGTGTAACTGCGTCGTCGTCGTCCAATTCTTTGATAACTACAAGTCACACATGGCAAGCAATACGTTTCTGGGTTTAGTTGACATGGACAAAAATGAAATAAATATCTGAATCATCATCGTCATCATCTTCGTACATATCGCACGATGTTGTTGTCAATAAATCAATAAGTAAGTAAAATGCACGTGGAGGAGGTGACGCGTTATCAGCGTAATTTGTTTGTGGCGCTGTAGTATTTGTGCAGTGATGATGATAAGGTTACACCTTGAGGTACTTGGGCAAAGTGTGGGAAGATGAAGGTATTTTGTGCTGGGCTGATGGATGGATGTACAAAAAATTAAGGATGCCATGAAAGTTTTACATGGCGAGTGAGTTATTGGGCCCAATCGAAAGAAGGAGCGAGATAAAGATAAAAAGACACAAAATATATGTCTCCAGTTATATTTATATTTTATTTTATTAGTGTTTCACAACGAAGGAAAGTGCTTGGTGGGCACGGCGTGGACACAATTTTAGGGTCAATCTACCTAAAATCATCACATCATGTACATATGTGTATATATTTTGCTGGCTGGGATGAGGAGGACCATTTGTAGGAGGAAAAGGATGCTGTTGGGCTGGAATAAAAGACACTCATCAAATTTACAACTTTCCGCTTTAATGCATTTTTCTCCCCATTTTACTTTGTTTTACTGCTTCATGGAGCTGCTAAATATGTGGTGGTGTCACTTTTGGGCCGTCCCTCGGCTCACACACACACACGACGAGGCATGAATGAGGTCGTCTTCTTCTTGAGATATTTTTCGGCAGAGCAGACTCGTTGGTCATTTTGTGAATGAATCCCTTGATGAGTTCAATGTCACTTTGCTTCTTTTGCTGCTTGAGTCATGCAGCGCTAAAAATGACCACACCCCGGGAGGGACACTTAGGAAGAAGCAAGGTCCAGGTTTTTCAAGGAGACTTTATTACCCACGAGACACACATGTACATCTTCTACCTTAAAACAATGGTAAAATGTGTGTGTGTGACAGTGTAAAACGGTGGAGAGTGATATATTAAGTACTATTATGAACATGTATATATGTAGTGCTTCGTGTGTATATTTGCGTATATACATGGATAAATAGGCTTGGCTGCGTATCAGGCAGGCAGTTTGGTCACCAACCGTGCCATTGCTTTGGAGAAAGGTCAAGTTGGCAAAGCGGAGGGTGGTCATCCTCTGCAAGACACCTTTTCCTGCGGGCTCGTCCCTATCCATCCCTTCTGCCTGTTTCAGGGTCAGTCATCAATTATGAATTCGGAAGAACAATCAGTGAATGAGAATCTTTCCTCGAAAAGCAGATTGCAAACTAACCAGCCAATGATCAAGTTCTTAGTCATTAGTGGAGGAAAGGAAGCCGGATTAGCTTTGGTTTTCGGCAGATTTATTTAAAATGTCAAGTCTCCGTTGTTTTGGACTTGTGAGAAATATGAGATTTCATAATTTGGCAAAATTTACTTCATTATATATTTGTTGGGTTGAGAAAAGGGAGGAAGCAACAAAAACAACACCCACGACGAGAAAATTGAGACCGTGGTTAACATTGTTGCTGCCGTATTTTGACTTTTTTTTGCAAAAATACACATTTTCGTCAAAGGAGCCGTACGCAATACGAATAGCAAATATGCCTCCAATAAGTACTTGTTAGTTCGTTGGTTACTGGCATGTCTTACATTTTTTAGAATCCGTAAAATTCCCAGTTTCGCAGAATTTCTCGTCCGCCGGTCGTTCAATTGGTCCTTTCGCTTCGAGAATATTATGCAACTGTTCTAGAATGTGATCCGTATTATGTAGGCCACATGTCCAGAAAGTTAAGTATTAAGCAGTCGTTCGTTGGTTCGTAATGACATGAGATTTTTCTCGTCGTGATTGTTGTTTTTGTGGATCTTTGTGGAAGTTTGGAGAAATGGTTCAGGGTGAGATTCGAGGAAAGCAGCAAGACGTTCAGTTCAGTAGCGGGGGCAGTCTTGGTATATGTGAAATGTCCATTCGAAGATGTACATAAAGCACAGGGTTCTGTGGCAATAAAAAGTTCAGATCTAGGGTTGATTCCAACAGGAAAGTGACGAGTGACACGAAACAGACGGACAGAGAGAGATGATTTTCCACGATTTCTCCCTCGGATAAGCCATAAGCAGGACACGATATGAAGGGAAAAGTGGGTGCACGATATCTGTGTGGTCCTCCACATACGTACGCACATATTCAAATTAGATATTCAAATGGGGAGATGTGATGTAATAAATCTCGAATTGTACTGCAAAACAGAAGCAGTTACATATGTAGTTATCCTTATGGGCATACACGTTTTTATCGTCCTGCTACTTCGACGTTGTTAATTTTGGAAAGAGCTTTGCATGCATGATATTTTAACTGGAATTATGTAATTAGCACTTTAATTGGGTCTTGTGTTATCATAATTTTGCTTAATCTGTGTTGTGTCTCAATTTCTTGTTTGCTGGGTTTTTACCGGTTTGGGATATTTTCTTCTCGAGAGAGAGAGAATCTGCATTGCCGGCGGATACAGGGTATATTGTCCCCCCTGAATCGTATCTTGTCCTTGTTAATAAGTCCTCCTGTCCCACATTTATTTGTTTTAATCGTGAAAACAATGCATTTTGACCACGATAAGACATTAATTTCTTCACAAAATCTCTATTTTCGTATGACTGCTGCCTTCTCCATGAAAATTCTCGTCTTTTTGGGGGTGTAACAGTCCTAGAAACCCTTGGAAGACCAAGCTCAAAAATCTGTATTTTAATAAGGTATTTTGCCTCCAATGTCCCCCCAACTTCCGCCGCCACTGAGGAACTGAACATCGGTCTGCCTGGGTGGGGATGAGCCTTATTTCTTTCTTTTTATTGGGGAGAGTGAGCAGAAGGAGTGAGATTTTATGATGCCTAGTTAGCCCCGATATGTCCCCATTTTAAAACTTTAAAGTTTTTTAATAGCCTCGAAAACCTCATCTTAAAACAGGCATAACAAAACTTTGTTGCCTTTTGGGGTGAATTGGTTTAGTTTGTGAAATGGTGAAATAACACGAAATTATCAAACCAAATAAGTAAAGTACGTGTCTTGTGGGTGCTCATCACCACCCGAAAAACAGAACAAAGCCACAAAATTACAAAGTATTTTTTAACAGGAAAGTAAAATTTTAACACATTGACAATTTTAGCAGCGAGAGATTTTATATTGTTTACACGTGGTGAAGATTGTGGTTTACACGAATAACGTTTAAAATTGAGATGAAATCGTGTTATGCTCATCTGTCCATAATTTCCGGATTTTACGAGATTTTTACTACTTGCAGTAGCTACACAAAAATGTAAAAACTGTCCATACATATTTCCTTGATGATTTACGCTTCCAAGATATTGCACCGTGACACCTGTTGAGAGACGATTTCCAGCCTCGACACGACTCAAATATCATGGAAATGATGACGATGAGATAGGTTAGCGTTGGGTCATCATCACCCCAATTTGTGGGGTAAAAACGATATGCACAAGCACATAAAATGATACTGCACACTTATGGAAAATAAGTAGGCAATCATGTTCTGATTATCAACTGAGGGTATAGTTGCCACCCCGCCCAGCAATGTTTTTAGAGTGAACAGGCATCCGATGGGTTCAAACTAGATTTATTTATTTATTTTTCATCCCTTGAGTGACAATGAGAGGGGAAACACCTCTCTGAATAAACATGGTCAGTATGAAATGAATATGGTCGCACGGCATTTTATTCGTCAAGTGTTTTCTCAAGAGGGAGAGATGAGATCCGGTCTACGCACTCATTCGCTTAGTCAGTCTGTAACATTATATTGTGTGCAATTAATTTCTGTATGCTTGACTCACTAGGAATTTGGTGTTGATGGATTTTTTATATTTTTTTCAGACTGTTGAGCGAAACGGAGAAAAGGCCCTTTATTTTGGAAGCGGAACGACTCCGGAGTGAGGTAGGTTTCTATTGGTTTATAATTGCTGCAAATTATGCATAATTTTTGTTCAAATTTTGCAGCACAAGCGACAACACCCCGACTACAAGTACCAACCACGAAGGAGAAAGCAACGGGTTGACAAACAATTGGAGAAAGTTAGTTGCTCTTCTGCCGTAGTTTTTAGGTGAGTGTCAATACAATACAAAGTATGATAACAATGCCTGACTATTTTTTAACCGGATTTTCTACCCTTCTCAGATCTACCAAAAGTCCCGACTCCTGCGACCAGAGCAATCCCTCCCCCATTCCACCCACACCACCCACCACCCCGAAAATCGAACCTGGCTACAACTCCCTCCCTCCCACTGGAAAAGCTGCTAAGAGAAGCTCCAAACACTTGAATCAGTCCCCCTCCGGAGGAGGTCACTCCTCGTCACCCATTCTGCACTCAAACACAACTCCCAACTCGGACAGTTCTCCCCCAATCCCCATCGTGGGGACGGATTGGGAGCACTACAACACTTTGCGCCATCACAGCTTCAGCCACCACAGTCACCACCACCCTCACCCCAACCACCACCATCACTACTCCAGCTCTCTCGGGTCCCTCGGCTCGGCCGGGTCGTCGGGAGGGTCGTCGTCTTCTGCAGCCTTGTTGTACTCGTCGCCCTCTTCGACCAGTTCGGCCGGCTCGTCTCTCGTCCTCGCCCAGTCGTCGCCTTCTTCTTCGGGAAGCGGGGGGTCTTCCGGTGGTGCGAATCACCACCACCACAACCACCACGGACTGGGGACCATGGTCAACGGGGGAGGAATGGAGCTCGGCGGAGGGGGTGGTGGGATGAGCCACAGTCTAGGATCGTCTGGAGGGGGACCTTCTACCCCCAGCGGATCGTCCTCCTCCGCCACGACGAATCCCATCCTCTTGACGAGTATGAAGTTGGATTCGAACGGAAATTCGGCAGGGGAGCAGCAGCAGGGTTTGTTTAAATCTGAGAGTTTGCCCAACTACCCGTCCCATCATCACCATCACGGATTGCCGACCGAGTTCCAGCTCCAGAATCCGGGCGTGACCTATATGCACGACCCGCACGTGCACCCTTCCAACTATCAACATTACTTTGCGCCGGGTGGGTTTGTCGAAAACTGGGGAGGTTTTCATGGTGGGTATTTGTAGGGAAGGGTAAATATTTAAATTATAGGGAATTTATTTGTATGAAATTTTGTGTCCCTCGCGTCTTTTATGCCTAGTTTTAGTTACATATTTTATACAATTAGTTTTTAGTTGGTGGACAAAGAAAGTGCGTACCATAAAAAATAGTCGGCATATGAATAAGTTAGGCCGACCTGTGTACGGTACATAATATGTAAATATGTACATAGTATATGTAGTTTTATTACAGAAAATGCAACGATTTATCACAGCGAAGATGAATGACAATTAATGATCACAACGTGGAATTTAAGTGCCTTAAAACTTTTTACAACCGTGATACATATAATTCTCCAACTAGATAATCACTTATCTACTATTCTAATCAATTTTAAGATATTTACTATTTACACTATGAATATGATGTTTCCCGTTTGAAAATCGACCTGCAGAAGAAAAGTCAAAAAATTCAAAAAATTTGTATAATTTCTTCACAATTTTGTATGGGGAGTAAAATGATTTTCTGTCGTAGCTGTGCTTTCTAGGAAAAAAATATAGTCGTGATTTTTTTGCAGGTCGATTTTCATACGTGTTTCCATTTTCCTAATTAAATTTAGCACACTACAAATAATTTAGTATAAGAAAATATTATCCTGTATTTAATACATGTACAGTTTATGTATGTCTGCCTGGGTTGTGCCGTGTTGTGTCGTGTCTCTTATCATCATCCGTAATGAAAATGGATACTCGTATTAATATTGTTCCGCTATTATTATCATTATTAAATATTACATACTTATGTACGTGTCAGTGAAAATAATATTTTATTATGTCACCATTACCATTAATTAACTAACTTTACCCATTAAAATATCAAGTTAGCCATTACTTATTACCATTAAATTAGAGACAATCGAAAGTGTTGTTCTGTTCTGCTAATAAGCTTTGTACTTAATAATTCGTGTTCATTCATTATTAATAAAACAAGAGCAACACAGCAACAAAATCGCATCTCTAGCTCTCTAGACACATGAAATGAAGGAAATGAAGGTCTTTTTCTTAATTGGGGTGGAGTGGCAGGCAGGCCGATTTTATTTATCGCATCGTCGGCTGTTGTTTGTGTGGGGATTTGTTATACGTGGTCTAGTCGTCTAATGCATAATGTATCAGGGGCAGATAATCAGTAGCCGCGGAAGGCGTGGGGGCATTAACATTGTTGGATAGGGGAGGGCGGGGTTTATATAACATGGGCAGATGATGGGGACATCGATCATTGCCGTGGGGGCATTGTCCCTCTGTCCACGCTTCCGCGGCCACTGGGAACGTTTCGTGGGGGTGGTGTCGTCTCTCTCTCGCAGATAAAAAGTCAGACTTATACGAGAGAAACCTTGATAACGTAAAACATAACGTGATGACCTTTTCACTCTCTACGGAATTAGGCCGGCCGGCTTTCTTCTCATGAAATATGAGACGAATCTGAAAGTGCAGCAAGTAATAACCTCAAAAAACCTTTATGTGTGCGGCGGTGGTGGTGGTTATGTTTTATGACGGCGGAAGTGGGGCACGACATGAGAATGAGTGGCGTGACATAGTTCCATTTACTTTACGAGAGATAGATATGTGTGCTTATCGTATCATATTTATGTGTTTATACTTATCATTTGGCGAAACGAAAGTGAATTGAATCCATATTTCAAAATTTGATCAGATACATAAACAGATAAACTTTTCGTCGTTGGGAAATTATTGAAGGTGACAAATCTTGGCCATTTAATTTGCATCTGTGCATATCCGCCTGGTGAGGAGCGAGTGAGAGCTTTCTTGTGGTCCGGGTGACATTTAATGAGCATCTTGAATGCGATAAGATGGATTTGATGCGTTTTATTTTTGGCTGAATTATCCTTGACTCTTCTGATCAATCTCTCTCTTTGCGGCACACTTTCATTCGCTTTTTACCCTTCACATCAATTCTTATCGGGCCAGTCTGGTCCGGGACTCTCATCCGGGTAGTCGTCCGAGGAGGAGACCCGATCCGAGAAAAGGAAGGCAGACAACAACGTGTGCAGGTGCAGGTGAGTATAAACAGATGACGATTTTGCAAAAAGTGTCAGTAAGCTTGGTATGAAAATGTGAGACGTTTCGTACTTGATTTTTTTCAGGGATTTTTGTCCCAATGGCATTGTTACCATCCGGTAATGAGACGACCCCGACGACACACTGGATAATTCATAAGACGGGCATAAAACCAACTCCGCTACAAGAATTGCATCCACTTCTATTCCCACCTGTAAACTTTTCATAAATTTCTGGTCAAAATTTGAAGTCACATATCTCACAAAATTTGCAATTATTATAGGTTCTCAACCGAATATTTGGACACTTATCATTTTGGCATCAAAAGAAATGCAGGTAAAATGAAATTGCACAAAGCCACATTTTTGTTTGTTGAGCTGAAAAATTTTCACTTTTGAAGATCCGTCTGCAAAACTTGGGAAGCCGAATTGCAGCACTTTCTCCGTCTCACGTGCAAAGTAAACCTGTCCAAGTTGGCTACCTTCATTTCCGACGAAGAGGAAAAATATAAGGGCCGACACAATCATCACGAAGAAGCTGAAAATCAAGACTGTACGACAACTGTACCTATTCCACTATCACTGCCAAGAATAAGTAAAATATGTACAAGTTTCATAATCGAGGGGGAGGACCCTTCCCTTCTAATCCGGGTTCTAATCCACCTCGGCCTTCTCCCTGCACTGCCACAAATCAAATACTTGGAGATCAAAAACTTCACTTGGAGCTTGACCCACGTGACAAAACTGGTACGAGAACTGCCCCTCTTGGAAGAGCTTAGACTCCCTGTGATGTGTTCATCTTTAAACTCGTCACCAATTTCGACACCCCATCGTCACCACCACACGAACAAGTACATTTCAAAGTCTGCCTGCATAACGAAGAATTGGAAACGGAGGGATTTTCTGGGGGACGACGACGCGGAGGAGGAATTCGTCAAACTGAAACGAATCATTGTTACCTTGTCGGTCAGAGACTTGCAATCTTTCGAATATGCAAAGTCCGCCTTTCTGCAGGTCGAACCCCTCTTAAAACTCGTCCAGCTGACGCCCAACCTTGAAGAGATTTACTACCCAAACATCGTCCAATTCACGTCCCCCGTCCACAATCCGGCCAGACTTTTGTTAGAAAGCATCATCACTAGCGACACCCCCTTTTCCAAGCTGGCCGTCCTAAAAATCGACACATTTCTGACCAACACCGACCTCAGGATACTCACTGCCAAGCGCCTCCCCTTTAGCAGCCTGCAACTCACTGTCACTCCAGAAATTGGATGTACAAATCTTTACAACTTTTTTAAATGTTGTGAAAACACGTTGAAATCGGTCGTCCTCACGTTTCGGGATGGGTTTCGATTAACAAGCAGGTTCCCCACGTTGTCACGACTGGACACGATGGCCCTCATTTTGTGGAAGGGACGACTCGACTTTGCCCAGGATATTGAGAAACTGAAAATTTTAATTGTCGTTCTGATGGAAATGGAGGAAGATGAGGGTTTGAAAGGTCACGATTTTGCAAAACTGTCAAAAATTGAAGAGTTGGAGATTCATGCGAATCAGGAGAGCAAAGTGGAAATGGTGACCTCTCTGGTGGCCATGATGCCAAGGAATAGTTTGCGAAAATTGACGCTCGACTGGGTCAACGATTTCTTGCTGGAGTACATCTACTCGTCACTGCCGAACCTCGAGGAGCTGGCCATCCTGTATGGTGGATTTACCGAGAGGGGGATTATTGCCCGAGTACCACTAATTTCCATGAAGGAAGACGAACTATTCTGTGATAAGGAGATTTCAACGCAAAAACGACGCCGTGACATCACTGATCTCAAAAGTACATTAAAAATTAAGAAATAAGGGAAAGAGAGTGGTTTCTTGCAACTATTTTGACCTGCAAGACTTGCATTTGCAAGGCGCAAGAAATCACTTTCTAGATGGGGTGCATATTTCTTGCACTTCTTGCTTTGCAGGTCAAGAAATATATGTAGCAAACCCGCAAAAAACGAAATACTGATTAAATCCCCAATTTAAAAAATAAATTTCACAATTTTTGCCGTATTTTTGACAGGTTTGAAGTATTTACTGTTGACGGGAGACTTGACGGATGACCTGATTTGTCACGGAGTGTGCCAATGTTCCGCCTTGCAAAGGTTGGAACTCGTTTCACGCAGCAGTTCGAAAGTGAGCGACACTTCTATCAAGACGATTGCCAACGTCAAAGGAAACACGCTCGAGTTTTTAGGACTCAAAAATTTTCTACAATTTACGAGTCCCGAGATGGTAGATTATCTTCGGGGGAAGTTTAATGGGAGGGAAGTGCATATCAGTTAGGCTATCTTATCATTATGTATGTAGATAGATAAAGGTTGACATATCTGCTATGTAAAAAAAATTTCCCGATTGTAAATCTAATTTACATCTTTTACTAATCTGAACCTAGTTATTTATCATGTTTGGCATTAAGATTGAAATAAATGAGATTGTATTGTATACAATTTTGCAGTATTGGACATATCTGATCTTATAATTTATCACATTATTTTCAGAATTTCGCTGTGTGACGGCAAAGGTTTACATTTTAGGATTGATATTATGGGAACGATCCAAGTCGGGGGAACCAGTCTAAAAAAAAGTTGCAATGATTTTACGCGAGGAAAAAGACCAACACAATTCTCAGATTGCATTGAAGGTCACTTTCGTTTATGCAGCTACATACATCACGTGCAATCATGATTTGACAATTTTGAGACAATAAGTTAGCAAAATCTTGCAAAAGTGTGATCACAATAAAAGAAGAAGACAAAGCTGAAGCTAAAACCGGACACTTCATTAAACACGTAAGTTTGTTGAATTCGTTTTTTTGTCTTTAAATAGGTCTAGCCTAGCATAGCATATCAGTAGAAATTAGAAGAATCAAGAAATTCCAACTTTTTTTACAACATTTCTTCTCTGCAATTTAAGAGTGACGACGCAAATTTTGCGACATTTTCATCGTAAATTCTTCCCTCGATTAAGCTTTGATCACTTTTCGGTTTAATATTTTGTTTTAACGATCAGATAAAAAAAACTTGGAAAATGGGGTACCTTCAAAATGCCGATTTTAATTTCTGCCAGAGTAAAATACATTTAATACTTCGATCAGATAAAAAAAAACTTGGAAAGGGTGTGTAAATATTACAAATGTCAATTTTAGTTTCTGCCCGGTTTTAAATTCATAGTTCGAACTCGAAACCGAGTTGTTTACCTTTTCGGTTTATTTATTCGGTTTCCTATTTATCAGTCTGGCAGATATTTGTCTTTTTCTTATCAATTTATTTTATCGACTTTTCTCAATTTTATCCACCTGCTCCACTCTAAACCGTCAACTGGTGTGCTATTGATTGACATTTGTCTCTCCTCGCTTTCACCATCCTTACCAATTTTCAGCTCATGAATTATGTATGCACCAAATATAAAACGCAACTTTAAACTGAATTCTTGAACTGACAGTCATAAAGGGTAAAGTAAAACTGCACCGGTTTAATTCGTGATAAATAAATCATTAATTTAATAATTGATGATTGGCTCAACCATCCGACATGAAATGGTTGTTGCTTTCACCAAGCGTAAAAGTCACGGAACATAAATCAATTATTGGTCGATACAGTATGCATAAATTATTGGAAAGGACAGCATTAATAAAAGGTAATGCCCTCCTAAAAGAGGGGGTTGCAATTAGCATTTAGTCCGTGCTATTACTGCGGTTGTTTCTATTTATGAGCAGACTGACCACAGGGAAAGTTTTATTGTTTGTAGAGTTTGAATCGGCGTCAGAGGACATAAATATTTATTGTTTTGCAAGCTTTCGCATATACATGCAGTTATTCTTGGAAGGCAAAATGCAAACTAAAAATCATGGCAAATTCTAAATTCGATGGTGAAAAACGTGGAAAATTGTATGCAAGCTATGTTCATGGTTAGACCGAGCTTACTTACAGCAATGTTTAAAGAATTATTTATTATTTCTGCAATAATACTCCTTTTTCTTATTCATGCGAATTATTTAACTTCGCAAAATCTCAACCGTTTTTTTTTCAATCAACCAAAAATGGAAAATGGACATGCATTTCGCCACTTATTTACATAAGCAGTATCGGCTGGAGTATACAGCAAGTAAATATACATTTGTACCTATGTCATAATTTGCATGATGACTGAGAAGATATTAGAGTTTCGTCATCATTATTAAGCTCCACTTTTTCCATGTATGTATTTGGATAACTTTGATAGCATCAAGTAAAGTGACGCTTTTGAGTAGCATGCGTCCCATTAATATGCATTCCGAAGGTCAATTATTCTTCGCTCAGGTATTGTAGTGGTGTATAGTCGCATATTGGTGGGTATTACTTTTAGACAGTGTTTATTCAAGCACATATCTACATAGACCGAAGAATTTGCACAAGTCAGAGTCAGTCAGTATTTGCATGGGAGCAGAGCAGTGCAGTGCGAAACGCCACCAATTTTTGCAGAAAATAATTGTCATAACGTTGTCCAGACTTTCCCTGAAAAATATTACGGATTTATTTTCTTTGCGCAACAATTTTCTTTCTTCTTCCAGAAACGAGGTAACAAAAAATCAGAATTTTGAAGTAGACGAATTCCACCTGGTTGAAGATTGCTAAAATTCTGTTTTACTTTTCTGGGGCTTATCTATCAATTCCCTTCATCTTCATCTCTTCCGTATTGCTTTTGTCGCTCATCATCACTTATCTTCTTGACCTTATCAAATAAATGTTGCTGCGACATTTCTTAGTTGGTTGGGGTAAAAAAGCTGTCTGTGGACCTGTGCTAGTTCGGAGACAGGAAACAGGGAAATCTCTCCACATGGGGTCTGTGTGTTCCAGCAATTCGGCAGTGTCCCCATCCAATATGGTAATTTAATTGAAATTTGCACGGACGGTTTGGTGTGCAGATTTTTGGTATCTCTGTAGAGGTGCCTATAACACTTTTTGCAAACTTTCTGCAACACTACTTACTAATTAATTGCTAATTTCTTTCGCAAATATTATGTATAGTTGAACAAGGGATTATTATATATTTTCTTCCATGATTTTTTACGCAGGACATGGGGGATAACTGGAAAACTGCGTCTTCTGTCTACGATTTTGCCTATGTGGACATTGATGGAAATCCTCAAGCTATGAGAATATTTGAGTGAGTTTCCTATACGAAAGAAAACTAAAAAAAGCATGGTACTAATTGATTAATTAATGCGCAGGGATCATCCGTTAATAATCGTCAACGTTGCCTCCAAGTGAGTATTAAATTGTCAGCAATTCAGTGAATTTCTTTACTTGAATGGAGGTCTCCCAATATGTACTCACAGATTTTGACGAATTAAGTGTCAATCTATCACAACTTTAATTACATTGAAGTTTGCAAAGGAAAGTCTCAAAATGGTTTGGTGGAGAAATTTGCATCCGAAGAGGAGAAAACTTTGACAATTTTTTTACACTTTACCTGCACATTTTCTGTGCATTTTCTCCTCTTCGGATGCAAATATCCCTGCCAAACGTGCCCATTGGGAAATCGTGTATTTTGCAAATGTCATATGACATTTTATGACAATTTACATTATGACATAATGTAAATTTGTGCTCAATTGACACTGATCGGTTGGTTAAAGTCTGAGAGCATATATACGCTGGAAGACCTTCATTTTATGCAAGTATTTAACTTTTGGATGTGTCCCTTCCTTTAAGGTGAGGCAAGACCAAGGTCAACTATGAACAGTTGACCGCCCTGTATGAGAAATACTCGTCTCCTACAGATGGGTCGAAAGGCCTGAGAATCGTGGGGTTTCCCTGCAATCAGTTTGGAGGTCAGGAGCCCGGGACGGAGGCGGAAATCAAGGAGTTCGCCAAGAAGTTCAACGTCACTTGGGACATGACGAGCAAAATTAATGTGAACGGGAACGATGCTCATCCCCTCTGGAAGTGGTTGAAGACGCAGAAAGGGGGCAGTTTTGGGATTGACGCGATCAAGTGGAACTTTACGAAGTTCTTGGTGGACAAGAAGGGCAAACCTCTTGAGCGGTTTGGGCCCCCCACGGATCCAATTGTAAGTCCATATATTACAAGTTGATGGACTGAATTTTAAGCCATATTTTTTTGCAGGAAATGGAGAAAGATATCCAGAAACTAATGTCCTCATAATCATGACCTCCACCTCCTTAGAATAGAATACATTTATATATGGTGGAATTATGTGATCATTGGTGTGATCAACTTTTGTAGATTCATGCATGATGCTTTACTCTGTAAACCAATCTTGTTGGCCAGGTAGAGCTGATTTTTTTGTGAAATCACATTAGTTGAATATCAATTTGACGTAATTCCTCGTTAAGATGAAATGAAAGCAATAAATAAATGGATCAATGGCTACTTAAGAATTAATTGTCTTTTGTCTGATGATGAAACATGCTAAAAATTATAGCTCATTTCTATTTTTTGAAGTTTACGAGTCTCGATTTAAATAACTGAAAGGAATCATGGCACTACTGATTTAAAAAATAGTCATTAAAGAAAGATCTATTATTAAATTCGAAAACACGATTAAGAAATTTCACAAACTTGAAAAATAATTAAACTTGCGTAGTAAACTAAATATGATAAGATACAAATACGTAAATTTCGAATCCAACACATTATTCGTCATCGTCATCGTCGGATGCGTCCATTTCTTCATCGTCGACTTCTACTTGATTTTCCTCGTCTGCAACGTCCTCATCATCTTCTTCCTCAGATTCGTCGTCATCCTTGCTCGCAAGAATTTTGAAGTCGTCCGGTTTCGTCCATTTGCTATCCAATTTAATTTTAAATTGAGCCATCTGGATTTCCAGTAGTTTCTAAACCATTCAAAAATACATACATAAATGAATCTCATCAATTTAAGTGTGCATATTAAGAATTCCAGAATTTACCAAAATGTTGGCCTGTTGTGGAGTCAAAACTTGTCGTTTTTTGCACACTGTAAAATCCTGAAGCAGCGTAACGATTCCTTTTTTCAACTGCGTTGGCATTCCTAAGGATCTTAAATGAGGCTCTATCGCGTGTGAAAACTGGGTGAGAGGTCCTTCCTTTAAAATCACCTCCTCGCTCGCCTTAGTTCCACTTCGGGCGTAATCCCTCTCAACAAACTCCTCAATGAAGGAAATCACGTCGGATTCTTCTCTATCCGTGAATAATAGACCACACTGACCCTGGAAAGAGATAACCATTATCATCATGATCATGACATCAGGTTCGCTCATCTCATACAATATGCAATACAAATGAATGATATCGTACCGTTAACCTCTCTGCAATCTTATGCGTATTTTCGCTAACTTCTGAAGCCTCGTCCTTCCCCAAAGCTAAAGCCATGACTTTATTCTTCGCCAACAAGATTGTCGAGTCCTTGAAATGTTTCCTAATTTCGTTCAGTGCTCCAACTCTCATCCCGTCGACACGAATGACATAAATTGAAGCATATTGTTCCGCTGCGGTTCGAACCTTCTCGTAAATATCTTTCTTCCATTCCTTCCCGTGCTTTGCTGTCCGGGTGAGTGAAACTAAACAATACAAACAATTAAAATTTTAAAACCAAGCATACCAGAAAAATGTGCCCATTAAAAGACCTTACCTTTCTTGTCTCTCTTCGACTTTGGCATTGTCACTTCTTAACTAATTGATTTACTAACTCTGGTCAAAAATAAATACTATTTTCTACTTATCGAAGATAAAACAAGTCAATTTTCGGGTACTGGACTGGAAAAACAGAAACAAGCGTGGTAAAGGGTATCCTCGTGTAGTGAATTCAGAACGCGCCGTATCCTCGGGGTACCAAGAGACTACTCAATACTCAACATTCCTAACTTTTACAATAGAAAAATTCGCAAAAATTCTTATGCAAAATTCTTTTGCAAAAAGTAATCAAATCAAATTTAGGACATAATAATAATGCATCAGCTCAGCTTAGCTTTGTTTATTTCTTGATAGGAATGCTTATACTACTACATTCAAAAAATCAATCATTTCACTCTCTCACCACGGATCGGTACATTTTACATACATTTAATCATGGCATCACCATTTCAGTGTCTCTGCAGATAAAGAAGAAGCATTATCTTTCTCACAACGGAGGTTTCCCAGCGTTTTCTCTCAGATTTTTTTACCTAACTAGTGTCCATCGATCACAAATTTAATTAGTATGAAATTTGCAAAAGACACGATCTCCCAATGCGCACGTTTGGCAGAGATATTTGCATCAATTGCATCAGAAGAGGAGATTGGGTCATTTGCATAATAAAATTTATGATCGATTTCCATTAATTTGGTCAAAATCTGAGAGTCTACGCTGGTCGACCTCCATTATAAGTTACACAGAATATACAGAAGAAACTGGCAAGAAGAGGAATAATTTTGCTAAAATGAGATTCTTTCTTGTCAAAATCTAACAATATTATCACACCAATACAACGCTTACAAAATGTATTTCTAGATATTTCTGTAAATATTTACTGGCCAGGTTGCAATGGCACGAGTTATAATACGGTACAATTCATCAGGCAATCATGTTTTTTGGTTTATCATCATCAATCATCGTTCTCAATTTAAATTAGTCGTAGATATTTATTTATAGAGCTCAAGCAAGTAATGCCTGCCTTTTAACAAGTCGAAAAATCATACCAAATCTGCATCGTGCATGTGAGCAAAGATTTTAAAAGTGCAGTAAGAAATTTCACTTCAAGTCTGAAGACGTAATATTTCACCCTTTTTTACAAAAAAATGCAACTCATGCACATATGTAATTTTGAGCTTGGTTTTAAAACAAGCAGCCAATGCAATGCAACCAAAAGAGTTGTAGAAGTAGAAAATGCTATGAAATTAAGGACATCAATTATTAAATCATATCATGCACCGCTTGAAAACACATTAATTTTACATAAGATAAAAGCTCTCTCCTTTTCTTCCTTTAATTAATTAAAAAAAAACAAAATAACAGTAGTAATCGTGCAACTACTTATGTAGATTAATCATAATTCGCCCTTGTACAAAAGGCTTTTGAGTTTTTTGATCGTTCGTTACATAATTAATACAACAACACTTCATGTATGATACAAATACAACCAATATATAGTAACATTTTTCATATAATAGTTAAGATATTACTTAATTGCAAGCAAAAATGGAAGAACACAATTAGCTAAATTACTGACAGTTTAAATTAAGACGTATCTATGTACCAATAATAATTACAGTAATATTGTTCAAAACTGTCATTCACAGAATTCTCGAGGAGGATCTCTTTTCTTGCTCGTTTTCGATGTCACGTTTGATAATATAATATGTAATAGTACTTTTTCTAGTAATTAATTATATAATGTCTTCAATTAATACGGGCGTCGTTATTAATAAAATTATTGGTAGTACGCACTTAAAAATAGTCGTTCACAGTGCAGTGTAGTAGTTTTTGTTGGGTGTGATTGTTGCAGAGTTAATTAAATAGTTACACAAATAATAATAATAAATCTGGCATCATCATAATAATTAATATAATTTCATATCATTGCTTTGTTCTCTGGCGCTATGTAAATCGAGTCGAACATTAAAGTTTTAAGGGGTCGAGTCAGTGCATTATAAAAACCAATTCTGTGGTCAACAGCTAATTAAAACTACGTACATATTATACAGCAAGTTATTGAAGAAGTGTGTAGATCATGATAAGTGTTGTGTGGAAGATTGATTGATTGGTTTGGTTGTTTTTTTACACATGTAAATTGTTTGGGCGTGTATGTGTGTATATGTATGTATGTGTCGTGAAAAGTCATAATATAAAGCCTCCCAAAAAGGAGAAGAATAAGTTACACGATATTAAAAGCAATTCTTGTATGTTTAAAAATTGGTATAAGGTCTCGGCATTTAAAAAGTTATATTAATCAATCATGGGTTGTACGGTGAAATATAGGTGGCTGGAAATTGACCCTTCTTATTACCCAGCATCCCACACCACCAGTTTGCGTCCGATTGGTCGGTCACTAAGAAAAAGAGAGATCATTTAGAGCTTAATTATTGTTAACGTAATAATTTCTAAATATGACGAGTCAACCAACAACCACAGACAAAAATGAAGCATTATTTAGCAATTAGCAGCAGGAGGGAGGGGAGAAGAAGACTGTTTGTTGTGTGGTGAGGATGACCATACAAGTGATTAACAAACCTGTAATAATATCTCCTCTTTTAAACTCAAGTTCACCAGGTTCTTGAGGCGTGAAATCATACATTGCCCTCACATACTGCAAAAACAAAAATAATGTCAAAAACAGAACGGAAAAAGAAGAGCTTACAACGCTTAAAAGTATATTTGTTCGCTGGAGCGTCGGAATTGTCGATGTTCAAATTAATATTCCAATAACCTCGGGAAGCAAATCGCGTAATTTCACATCCTGAGAACGCGACACACTGGAGGTCCTGCAAATTATTGGGACCGAAATTTTAGTTTCAGTGACATTTTACAAGATCCTATTTTTTGGTAATGTATCGATACCTGTGATATTCGACGAGTTCATTTAGCGAGTTGAATTTAACAACCCATAGGAAAAACTTTCCAGCAGCGTCACGAAGGACCTTGAAATGTTGGACTCCATCGGAACACCTGACAGTTTGTTATAAAAAATAATTAACCTCCGACTACATCGTATAAAGTAGTAATTTACTTTTCATACCTCACAGACAAAGAAAAGTCGCCAGGACTGGATTCACTCACTCGGATGAGAAAAGCCCCTTCAGGTTTATCAGTAAGAAACTTTTCGGCTTCCGCCCTAGTAATTCTTCCACGGTACCTGGAAAATAGAGTAGCCATTTCATATCATTTGACACCATACACCAGAGTGTACCGGGACATTACTATATAGATGGATAAATATGTTTGCGGTTCAGAAAAAAAACACATTCCCAACCGGAAATGAATGAGAATACTACGCGTTCTTTCTAACCTTGCGTTTCGTTTAGTAATAACATACTTCCATTATTTGTGGTTATTTACAAATTGCATATTTTCAAGGCAAATCCAAACCCAATAACTTTAGCTCCAGTTCATACACATAATTTCTTTACATGCCTCAGCAGAAACTAATTCATTAAAACAAATGCAATGCAACGCTCACATACCACGAATGACTTTTCATCTCAATATAATTTGACGGTATTAGGCCTTCTCGTCCATCCAGTTCTGCTCTAAACCAATTTGAGTCATCTTCCATATTTAATATCTGAAACAACGGGAACGACATTAGTTTAAATCGCTGAAAGCATTTTATAGCGGAATTCTATCCCAACCTTCAAGACTTGTCCTCTCTTAAAACTGAGTTCATCATCTGCGGTGGCAGTAAAGTCGTGTTTTGCAATTGCCTCCATTGTCGGTTATCCTATATTTTTTTGTTGATTGAGCTTAACGACGGCGACGACCACCACACCCACCCACTCACTCCTGCTTATACGTAAATAGATGGATGATCTCTGACGACGAGGGGTCGTTGGTTTATGGTGAGAAAAAACGGTGAAGTGGATTGGATGGATGGATGGATGATGGAATGAAATGGAAGAAAGAAGGACAGCAGAACTTCTTTTTTAAAGTTTGCACTGCCTGGTTCTCAGACGACTCGTTCGTCCCCAGAGTGGTAGAGACAAATCACTCCGACTCGAAAATCCGAACCCGGAAAACTCCGCTTTCTTCTTTCTACCCGGTTCCCCGTTTTAGTGAGACTACTGCCAAACTACTGATCCGAGAGCCGGCTTCTTCCTTTCTTCGTCCCACACACTGCTAAACACAATACATTCTCAAAAAACAACGTCACTTGGTTGGAAAACTAATCACAAAAGAACTGTCACGTCACGAACCGAGAGATCCAAATTGCACAAAACTGCTCTATGAAAAAAGTTGGATCAATTAAGTCACAAATTTCCAAATTCCTCCGTTCCTTACTCCGCGATGATTGAGATCATGAATGGGTCCTCTACAAAACTTGGAATAAACAAACAAAAAAAGTAATTAAAATGAGGTTGAAGAAGGTAGTAACAGGACGTAGTTATCGTTATCATCAATGTGTACGATATGACAGCAAGTGATTGGATTGCTAAATGTCCAGAACTAATAAAACCCAAACCACAAAAATGCATGTATGTGATGCTGGTATATATTTTAACTTTTGGATTTACGTAATCAGTGATGCAAGCAAATCAGAGTAAGACGTATATGAAATGAAATGAACTACAAATTCTTGGGTTTTCTGTCTCACTAAATAACGTAAAACTTGGAATGATGAATTAGTTTAAATTAGACTGTCTAATTTAATCACAAATTGCAAAATTGTATCTCAATTGTAGAATTGGTTACTGCAAAAAAGTACGAAGTTTAATAAAACTACATAAACACGAATACATTGATTTTTGAAGGAAAAGAGACGCACATATTTGGTTCACTCACTCGCATTAGAAATTCTAATCACACTGTGTTTTGCGATTTATCAATTCGCAAAAGTATGGAAAGGAAACAGCCAGCCCGTTAATATGCCATACATATTTCTTCCAATATGATAATTCCAATCTATTGACATACGACACAACCAGCAAAAAAATCGTACAACATGCTAATAAATATGTAGCTACATATTTTTTTACAGCACAGCACAATAGTTAAGACAATTACAAATTAACAGTACTACTAATTTTCTTTAAAAAATATCATAATAATTCATTATTTGAATTTTAAAAGCTTGCTAATCCACCTGACCTATTTTGCATTTCACCTCAATTATTCTCAACAACATCTTCAATCTTAGAAGATTTTAAAAGATGAAGATTCTTAAAGTGTAAATAACTTCTTAATTACATTGATCTAAACTGAAGAAACAACTCACCTTTAACTATATTACACATTTGTCGTGTCTTTCACCGTTTAGAGGAAAAGTGTTGATATGTTGATGAAAGTTGGGGTTTTTTAGCGTCTTAAAAATATAGTTATTACTTACTCCCGTGTGTGTCTATTATTGTGTGACGAATACGATATACAATAATGGTTTTTTGGGCTCTCCATTTGTTTAGTTGGCCGAGTATTAGTCATTTCATTGGAGTGCCCAAATTGTACAAACACTGCGAGAGGGCTCCACGCTCTGTCTCAACTTTAGCTGTCTCAAATTCCTCATATAATGCAAGATTTCTCACTTTTCTCATTTCATTCGAAGAATGGGGAAATTGAGAAATTGAGAAAGAAAGTTGTCCCAGGTTTTGATTTGCTTTCACTTTGGTTCGATTTGAGACGACGTGGTGAAAGTTATAATTTTAAAGCCTGATTAATTATAGTTAAATTCATGTAATAATGAGCACTTCATTCGTTAAAATATAATGGACCCTTAATAAGGGTTTCTTGTGCATGTAATTTGGCTGGATTGGTGGATATTCCAGGAAAAGATGAGTGAAAGCGTGGAGAAAGTCTCATCACGTGGAAGCTCAACTAGCGCGGAAATCATAACGGATCACAACTTTATTCCAGTTTGGGTTCATCTGACTTTCTTTGTTTTGTTTTTAATATAAATATTCTTCCAAATATAAATAAAAGTTTAATTTATAACTGTTTTTCACATAATTTTGGAAAACAATATGCGTTTTAAGGCAAGCTACTTTTTTTTGGCATAAATAAATTGGTAGTTCGGTTTGGTTATTGGTTGTTGAAATAAATAACGACATTTAATAAAGATATAATTTAATATTTAATTAATTTAATAGCTGACAATGAGATAAGTTGTTTTTCTACGGATATGAGGAAACGGGTTCACCCACTTTGCATGAGGCTGAACAGACGAAATAAGTTTTGAAATCGAAATAATGGCAGAAGATGATTTACCAGCTTGTGAAGAAGTCAATGCGTTTCTTCCAACGGCTGCTCCTCTTGTCGACGATTCAATATTACCTCCTTGTGAGCTCGTCGAAAACAATAAGAAATATCAACAAGAGATGTACCATGATCTTATTGGTAGAGGATTAGATCCACTCAGCATTCCTTCGGTAACATTAATTTGATTAATAATAAAGCGTTTAAGACTATTTAATTAAATACGCTCTTGTTTGTTGCTTATCTAGATTGCTAGACACATCCTTTCATACCTGCCCTACCAAGAATTGGCCGTTTGTCGTCAAGTTTGTCACCTTTGGACAGAAGAGGCGACAAAGTTGTTTGAAACCCGGGCAAAAATTTCTATCCATCCCTTCATCAATCTCCACGCATTTATCGACCTGGTAAAAGACCATTCCGGACCTTGGAGAGATCGGATGAGCATCGGATCCCTGCGAACATTCAATATCAAACTACAAACAAATCTCGATGGGGGAAAACATATTGACAAGCTTTTTAAAATATTAGGAGATAAAATTGCAAGGACAGAAATCAGCACGGAAATCGGGAGTGAGTCAACGATTTGGAAGATCCTTCAGAAATATGCGAATCAACTACACTCCATCATTCTCACCGACGCCTTAAGCTGCAATCCCACACGACTCGCCATGTCTGCCCTTGTGCACAAAGAATTTTTCAACAGCGGCGAAATTGTGTTGCCCTCCGTGAAAGAACTTCGCCTCGACCAGACCTTGGATGACGGCGTCCCCATAATTCCCGACCTACACAATCCCCTCGACCTTCTCATACCCCTCACACCATCCAGCGCGGTTCAAAACTTGGCAATTTTACTGCTAAAATTGTTCCCTAATTTGGAAGTTTTACAGCTCAATAACCGCTTCGACGACTCGAGCTTATTCGTCACCTTACTCGGAGAAATATCCGCTCATCCAGATTTCAACAATCCGTGCAAATTCCTAAAAATTATCGACTTCCCATTAAATCTTAATGAAGCGGAGGTGATTTTAATTCACGAAAAGTTTAACTGGCCACTGGAAAGGTTACAGCTCTCGCTCCGACCCGGTCTCCGGTTTCCAGCCTTGTACGCATGGCTGTCTTCCTTAGGGTCAACCTTGACCAGGTTGGACTTGGATTTCGTCCTTATTCCAGCCACTCCGGAAACATTCCCTTGTGGATACGACCTCGTTAAGATGGAGACCTTAACCTTGAAGAATTACTACGGACCGTTGGACTTCCTCCCCTTCATGGACAAGCTGGAATCTCTCACCCTGACCAACGTCAATCTCTCCGTCGCCTTTCGAGACGAGCCAGAAAAGAGTTGCTGTGACCAGATGAGATCACTTCAAATCATGTCAGGTCACAGTAACGCGGGGAGAATGAGTTTTGCTCATATTTACAAAAACATTGCCAAATTTTTCCCACACTTGCGAAAGTTCCGTGGCGACTACTTGTCGGACTCTAACTTGAGGATATTGATACGTGAGTGTCCCCTCATCGAGGAGCTGCTTCTGGCCGATTCGGTCATCACGGATGAAGGAATCACAGGAATTCCGTTCGCAAAATGTCACGAACTTCAGATGATGCTGGATCATCAAGTGGATGCTGATTTAGTGGAGGGCGCAAGTGACATAGTGAAGCAGGATTCGATTGGAGACTTGAAATGTACGTAGTTTTTACGATACGATACTATATTATGCGGTATATAAAGAATTTTGATTAATTTTGACCAATTTTTGTTTCCAGATTTGAAGAAACTTCACATAAATTCACCAAGGATCTCAAACGTGTCGATATTCCATGGTCTCATTAATTGTAGAAATCTTTACGAGTTGTGCATGTCTTCACCACTGGTAAACAAGTTATCCATTCCGCTTAATATAGCTATTAGCCACTAAAAAATTTCATAATTTCCAGATAACATCTCCAGTCATCCTATATTTTGTGAAGAAAGTGAACTTGAAATATTTCCGACTCTTCCTCACCCGTTCGTACAGGATCACACGGAACGATATCTTATCCCTCCTCGAAAAAGATGCGTCTTCTTCCCCTCTCTCCAAAAATACTACTTTGATACTCGACGGGAAATGCAATGCATGCGGTGTATCGGAAACTGACTGATGAAAACAATTTCATTTCTCCATTTGACTGAAAAAGTACATAGTTGACTTGAAAAAAATTACATAAATCAGTAAACTCCAACCCTGGATAAAAATTACATCTCAATTCAATCCTTGTTTTTCCTGCTTATATATAAAAACCCACAGGGCAGCCTTGTTTAGCCCGAGTCAGGTTGCTATTTATAATTCAGGCCACTACAGATTTTTTATATTTTTTCCCCCACATTTTGCTCATCTTCGAACTTGATTCGATTCCTAATTTTACATACTTGTGTCCAAAATTTCAAGTCGATTGGAAAACTTTTACAAGCGTAACCGATAGACAGACAGACAACCATGACACATAAGCCCTGACTCGGGCTAAAAATCGTTCGTGCTGAACGATTTCATCTTCATTTTAATGTTTTCATAAATCTTGACATAATAGTTGGTCCAGTTTGTACTCTCGTGAGTGCAATGGAGCCAGTAACTTTTTGTAAAGTAAAATGTATCGGAAACGTATAAAACGGGCAACATTTACTCTCGAGCGATGGATGCTATAATAATATTCCACCTCATTTCGCCCTCCTAATGTTTTTCCTCCGATACCAAAATGAGTTGAGTTTAATAACGAATCGGCATCCAGGCAGGAGAGTAAAGAAAGAAAAAAAAACACTTTGCACAAATCCATTACAGTTATGTGATGCGATATATGGGGTGGTAATAGCGCATAATGGGTACGGTTATTACGTAAATGCTGCTCGTGGGTGGTGAAATCTGATCATATTCGAAGAAAGGCAGAGAAATTGTGGGGGAGAAAAATGGGTCAATTTATTTCTGGGAAACAAGAATATATTTTGCTTTAAATATTATGAAACAATTATTGATCAAGAAAACGCATGTTATTTTTAAATTTGTAGCATAAAAACCTATTCCACGAGTTCCGCTTCGACTGGACGCAAAATATGTATATGTAAAAAAATAAAAACCGGTTATTTATTGTATCAAAAAAACGTTAAAAAAGCCAGAGGTAGGCAAAACACTTTGTCAAAATACAGCATTTTGAGCTCCGTTCTTCCCAGGGTTGTTACACCCACAAAATGACGAGAATCAACGTGCACAAGACTGCAGACCTAGGAAAATACAATTTTTGCGAAGAAATTAGCCTTTTATCGTTACTTTGTACTCGACAATACTTTTTGTTTTTAAAAAATCGTGAAAACAATGTACATATTTGACAGAGATAAAAAGTTAATTTCTTCACAAAACATGTATGTACATATCGTATAAATCTTCTATTCTCAATGCAGATTTTCGTATTTTTTTGTGTAACAGCCCTGGAAATCCAAACTCTGGGAAGAGCGGAGCTCAAAATAATGTTTGTAAAGAATTTTGTCCATCCATGGAACAAAACACAATTTTTTGAACACGTGTTTCCAACAGCGTCGAAAGTGTACAACCGAGCGTTGTACTGACAGCAGACGCCCCTACAATTTGCATTGGTCCAACCAGCACCATATTTTGAACTGATAATGAACGACTACACAGCCTGTCTGCTGCATAAACAAAGTGGCCACACCAACCAATCTCCAACCAGATCTATTTTACTAATGAGCTTAAGCTGAATGAACAAAGGTTTATTTAGCGAATGGGAAATGTTTGCTGTTTCATTTCATTCTCCTTCGAGAGACAAAGGCAATTTCTGTCTCTGGATTCGAGTCTTCTTCTTCCGTCCCGTTTCTCACATTTCTTGTTCTTCCTTAGCCAGGTTTTCTTTGCCTTTGCATCGCTAGCTGATTTCCTGGCATGACGAACCCAGACCAAAGCAAGAACACCAAACGCTACTTATTTGCCAAGTAAAGTTTAAACAATGTTTTCGCTTGATTTCTTTTCCTCTTCACTCCTTTTGGTTGACGTTTGACTTGGATCTTAATCTACTCCTGGTGAAGCCGGCCTAGTGAAAGCAAAGGTGCATACTACATATTTCCATGTGCAGCTTCCAGTTCAAAAGAGCGACACGACCAGTGAACAAGTAATTGTGTGGAAAGAAGAATTTCTAAATTTTTAATTAAGCTGCAACTTTAGATGCGCTTGAAAAACACCGTAAAATTAAAGCTATTGCAATTTTCCTGCAATATCTTCACTGATGATAATTACTTGGCAGAAACATTGAATCCTGGTGTTTAGTCTGCACCAACTGCACCTTCTGTTTTCCATTTAACAAAGTGTACATATTTACATTCCAACTTTCCATTACGAAATTAATACAATGCGTGCGGGGCGTGCAGTTTACGATGCTCGGCTTTCTCCACAAATTAATAAACAAACAGAAAAATCATGTACTTGACAGATTTTCTCTGCGTCATCACCACTAATTACACACACCCTTCTTAACACACATTATTATGACAGAGATGCATACAAAACAAACAAAAAAAGTTTAGGATTAGCCATAAAAGAATGAAAAGACTGAAACTGAGATACGAGTACAAGGACCGAATTTCTAGACCCATCTCGCATCTCCACTTCCACTAGAAAGCAGCATACGTCTACTTTCCCTTCTGGAAAATGAAAAAGCAGACGGACAGACTGAGAAACATGGAGGAGAAAGTTTCATCATTCATCGCATTCCATTTCCTATTAAAACCTTTTCCATGTTTCCCTCTTCCGAATCTGCTCTCTCGCTTCAATCCATCCATCCATCCATCAAAAAATATCCCCCTCAGTAAATATTTCAATGTATGTAGACGTAAATTTTTCAGTAGAAAGAACCGTAAAAAATAGTCTTTAACACTTCCCCATCTTTTTCCGCCGTGCTGGACAAATTGGCTCAAACAAGCGTGGAGGAATGCTCGATTATAACGTGGAGAAAGTAATTGGGTGCTTTCCCAAATCCTTCTCCGGCTTCCTACAACTCATCAATTGGACCAATCTGCTCAAGGATAATTTGATTTTGCTCCGAATAATGATGAGTATCGATCATTCCTCACTTTCATTTCATCAATGCTTACTCTGTAAGCTGATTAAAATTTATTTCCCATCCGCCATCGACCCGAAAAAATAAGTTCAAGGCAAAGACAACCCGAGAGAGAGAGAAAGGACAAGTTACACGACGAGCGACTCACACTGGTTGAATTTGTTGGGATTCGTGGATAGGATTGGGTTCAGTGTTTCGGGTGAAAGTAGCAGCTTGCAAGAAATAACGGGAAGAAAGTGGTTTCTTGCGGGTATTTTGACCTACAAGAAATGCATGAAACTAATTCCCGTCGCAATATTTGTGGTTAAATTGTGCATATTTTTTGCACTTTCTTGCACCTCGCATTTCTTGCGTTGGTTGTTTTGCAGTGCAAGAAATGCGTAAAGCGTAAGAAACGAAACACTGCTAATTCTGGGAATCACAAAAAAACACTGCTAATAACCGTGTTTCAGGTGCAAGAAATAACTGGAAGAAAGTGGTTTCTTGCAGTTATTTTGACCTGCAAGAAATGCAAGGCGCAAGAAACTACTTCCTGCCGCTATATTTCATACTGCGCGTGGCCACATGGCGCAAATTTCTTGCACTTTCTCCCAGTTTCTTGCGTGTCTTGCTTTATCGGTGCAAGAAATGTAGGAAACCCGCCAGAAACGAAACACTGCTAGTATTTTTTTATGTAATCTTTTCTCCTCGAGAATTGAATAGGAACGAACGAACTGGCGATCCCAGTGCAATTTTATCAGGCATAAAGGAGATTTAGTGTACATGAGAGGTTTTGTTGGGATGATGCAATCCGGATCTCTTTAACTTTCACCACGACCACGACATTCGCCTTACTCCGTGAAAAAAACTTAAATAGCAAGATTCGCTTTCACTCTCAGATCGGATTTTCGGGATGCACACAAACATTCAAAATCTGTACATAAATTCAGTTTAAAACCTTTTTTTCTTACAAACTTTGCTTTTCGTCGTAAATACTTAGGCTCGTGTGTGTCTTGGTGAAAGTAAAATTTTAAGCTTGTGTTGTTGAAGATCAGAAATTTTCGTAATAAATTGTGGGATTTTATTTATAGGCAAGTTTTATGCATAGGAGTTGAGCGTAAAAGTTGTGTGTAGCAAGATTGATCGGCAGTCTGCTCCTTCCAGAAGATCAGGCAGAGTGGAAAGTTTGCGTCGATATGCAAACTAAAATTTACTCGTGGTTCTGATGTCGTCTCCTCGATGAGCGATGAGATGATGATGATGTGAATCTCCATCCGTGTGTGGGGTGGAATTTTTGGTGAAAGTGTTTCTATTTTTGGAGAGGATGTGACATGCATGTCTTTATAAAAAGGGACAAGTTTTGGAGGTCACAAATTTCGTGATGCATCGAATTGTCAGGTTCATGGTTTCATGAAGAATGTTTGCCATACATGGTTTAGTAAATTGTCACGTTTTACAAGTTCAAAACTATTTTTTGGACTGGACATGGTCCAAAAAAGCGTATAATGCTGTGCAAAATAATCTTGGACATCCAAAAGCCCCCAAGATTGGAAAATGGGGAAATGTTACAAGTTTTTTATTAACGTTTTTTTCCAAATCTACATATGCACAGATATTTAATCTCCCATTAATTTTGAGCATTTTGGTGTGTGCAATGCCACGAAATTTGGGAAAACTTTTGTTTTCTTATAGGAAATTTAAAAAATCTCTAAACCATGTCATATTACGCAAAATTCTCAAAATTAATGTGACATTAGTTTCATACGCGGCAACGGATTATCGAAAGATTCGATAATGGAAAACATGTAACATTTTGCCCCATTTTCTATTTTTGACACTTTTGGGACATTTTGGTCAAAATTCAGGATCCAAAACTTGTTAAAATTGGATTTGAACAGTGCTTTTAACCAAACCGAAACCGAAACCCTGTTCAGAGGTTGTGCAAAAAATATGGGATTTTTATTAATTTCGGCCTACGGTTTCTTATTACATTTTCCAACCTTGGAAGATGCGTCCCTCTCCAGCTAATTAGTATTTTTTTACCCGCACGGCATACAAATTTCCAAATTATCTCTAATAAAACTTTTCACCAACGTGATACACGATTTTTTCCAACCTTCCAATTTGCTTTCTTTCACCCAAAATCTGGGACCAGAACCTAGCTCAACCTCCTTTTGCTGGAGAAAGGTTAAATGTGAAGTGGACCATTTTTTGGCCATCCAGACCAGAGTCATGCTCATGCAAGCCATGCCGTGCCATTATTTGCACCATTGTCTACTCCATAGTCATCCCTTTTATTATGTAACACGACCGTCTGTCGTGGCAAAAAGGGGTCGACTGCTGCTGCTGGAACGTGAAAGTTTGATATTAAAGGTTGAAGGAATTTGGTACATATCTCGTTCTTAAGGAAAGCATTTATCTCGTCCGGACTGGAAAAAAAATGTGAAGTAAAGCTCAAGGGGCATCTAATCTCTATTGCGACCTTGCTCATCTCGCTGTAAAATTGAGAAACATTTTTTTTTCATTTTTCACTTTCACTTTCACTCGAAATTGCATTTCGTGTTTCAATTTAGGACGTCTTTTTTTAGCGAAGTTTTGCTGAATTTTGTGCTAATTTCTACTGCAGGAGATGCACATATAAATTTTAAATTTAGGATGATGTTTCAGCAGAATTTGCTAAAGTTTGCCTGAATTTTGTGCTAATTTCTAATTCGTTACATGAATTCATTTATGCAACATAATTTTGCAGCATGAATGCATACTTTTGCATGAAAATTGCTAGTTTTAAGGTATGTAAAATGAAAGCATAAATTCATAAGAAAGTGAACTTTTTTGAACAATTATTAGCTCGCCCTGCGTAGCATGAGAGCTATTGAATTCCTCTTGTCCGTCTGTCTGTCTGTCTGTCTGTTAACGAGTTTTTTGCATCAACTGATGCTAATTAAACAGCCCCTTGACCATTATTGGATACGTTAGGCGCACCATTGGTACTAAACAAACCGAATCAAATTTTTTAACAAGTTAATAGGACCATTGATATCTAACAATCGGGAACAC